TTATTGATTTGTTTTGAGAGAGAGAGGACTCGAGTAGGGGAGGGGCAGAGAGAGAGAGAGAGAGAGAGAGAGGGAGAGAGAGGATCCCAAGCAGGCTCCACTCTGTCAGCACAAAGCCTACCATGGGGCTCAAATCCACGAACACTGAGATCATGACCTGAGCCAAGATCAAGAGTCAGACGCTCAATCAAGTGAGTCATGCAGGTGCCCCACAATTATTTTCCTTTTTGTGTATAGATTGCTTGTAGCTTTGATACTCACAAATTCTTAATTTTAATAAAGTCCAATTAATTTTCTTTTTTGTACCATTTTTTTCAAAAAAATTTTTTTTAATGTTTATCTTTGAGAGGGAGAGTGTGTGTGTGAGAGAGAGAGAGACAGAACTTGAGCAGGGGAGGAGCAGAGAGAGAGGGAGATATAGAATCTGAAGCAGGTTCCAGGCTCTGAGCTGTCAGCACAGAGCCTGATGAGGGGCTCAAACCGATGAACGGTGAGATCATGACCTAAACTGAAGTTGGATGCTTAACTGACTGAATCACCCAGGTGCCCCTCAAAAAAATTTTTTAAGTAGGCTCCACACCCAGCATGGAGCCCAACACAAGGCTTGAACTCATGACTCTGAGATCATGACCTAAGCTGAGATCAAGAGTCAGATGCTTAACTGACTTAGCCACCCACGTGCCCCTCAATATATTTTTTTAAAGCTCATTTAATTTTTTCCATATGGTTTCCCAATCTTACATATATTTTTGTAAGTTTTTATTTAAATTCCAGCTAGTTAGCCTACGGTGTGATATTAGTTTCAGGTGTACAATATAGTGATTCGACACTTACATATAGCACCCCAGTGATCGTCACAAGTACATGCTGTAATCCCCGTCACCTGTTTCCCTCTGATGACCATCAATGTGTCGTCTATAGTTAAGAGTCAGGTTCTTGGTTTGCCTTTCTCTCTCCCTCTTTTTTCCCCCAATGATCATTTGTTTTGTTTCTTAAATTCCACATATGAGTGAAATCATATGTGGCATTTGTCTTTCTTTGACTTATTTCACTTAGAATAATACTCTCTAGCTCCATCCATGTCATGGCAAATGTCAAGATTTCCTTCTGTTTATTTTTTTAAATTAATTTATTTTGAAAGTGTGCATGCTAGCAGGGTAGGGGCAGAGAAAGGGAAAGAGAGAGAATCTCATGCAGGATCCATGCTGTCAGCGCAGAGCCCAATTCGAGTCTTGATCCCATGAACTGTGAGATCATGACCTGGGCCAAAATCAAGAGTCAGATGCTTAACTGACTGAGCCACCCAGGCCCCCCTTCTTACATTTTTATACTCCATCATATACAGGTCCCAA